TCGGTAAAATCCACGCTTGACATACGAAGAGATCCTACATTTTTAATAAACCTTTTTTGGGCTTTTGTAGATATAACTCAGTCACTTTTTTGCAAGTTTCGGTCAACTGTGAACATCACTCAGTCAGAGTATGTCATAAATAAACAGTACTGCGTAACTTTCCGTTATTGGAATATCACCTGGTTTGATATGGGGACTTACACGGTCACGAACTGTCATCTGTACGCACATTTTTCATTCAACCGTAAAAATAATTGGTACATATTTTATATTTGCTAAAATGTGGACACCACTCCAGTAACTAGTTTTATTACATGGCCGGATTAATCTGAGCCCTCTAATTGGTTATCACTCGGTCCGTATTTGCCCTACGGACTGTTTCCAAGGAAACGGTCATAAGCCGTGTATTTTTGGTCATGAAAGTTAACAAACCACTTAAATCCAAAATTCTTTAGTGCGGCCCTCGCGCTCGGTTAGTAAGAAGTTACTCTTCCCTTATTCGGTTGGTAGTAGTCATGGTACATTGCCCGTTGTAAGAAATAATTAGCTTGGCTTTTCCGTCCGTTGTTTGCTCTTATTTAGTCGGTTGTAATCACAATACTCTGTCCGTTGTTAAATTAATTAGCGTGGTTACTCTGTCCGTTGTTCGCTCTAATTTGATTCTAATCACAACACTCTGTCCGTTGAAACAAATTATTAGCTTGGTTACTCTGCAGGTTGGTGAAGAAAGAGTGATGGTTGCTCTTATTCAGTCGGTTGTCAGAGTCAAGATACTCTATAAGATGTAAAGGCAGTAACTCCACGCCTCTCTGGCTTTCGAAGGAGACTCATGGATATCGACTTGCTAATCTGTGAGAGGCAAAAAGTAACGAAAGAAATAGACAAATAAATAAAACTCAGCGAAACTATCGGTAGAATTTAAAAGAGATACAAAGCATATGATATATAAAGCGAGAAAAATTGTTTTTTGTTATCATGCGTCACCATTTTTTAAAATTTTGTTTCAAGCTAATAGATTTTCACGGGCTCGAGCATCAAATTTGTTCTTGACAAGCCATCTTCATATACAGGGGAAAGAGCTTTTAAAAATACCGGTACCTTCACAAGACGTCGATCCAATAAAAATGCTCCAATTGCAAATACAAATACAGATACTACGAAAGCGATCACAGTCAGCTGTAAAATTGGCAAACCAGTCCTTTTGGTCAGCGTACGTGAATCAGATCTAGGATCTGAAAAAGGATAAAAATCTTTGTTCACATAGTTATGTATTCTAAAAAAAATATTCTTTTGAGGGAGTTTAAAAGTCGCTTCAGGTAAATGAAAATCAAGGAAACGGTTTCTTTTAAAATAACTCTCCTTCTTTCCAAAGCACAGGAAGTTGCCTTTTTTTTTTAGGACAGGGACCACAGTAAACCACGACGTGAATACTAAGGAGAACGAAGAGGAATAACTCATTTAAGGAGCAAAACTACGATTTTTGCGCGGGTTTCAAATTGTTGAACGTTTCCTTGTAGCTCTTTTTAAATCACCGAGTTGAACGTCTTATCTCGAAATACTGCCCATACCTGGCTAAAGGACCCTGATGGCGAGTCGTTAGGTTTTTTCAAGGACAAATGTACACGCGTCTATGAAGGAAGTTTACTGAGGCCCTCATACACAATGAAGATGATTAAGCCAGACTCTGGTAGTGCCTAATACTGAAATAAAGCTACTTTGAATCAACAATGGCTGTCACGATTGCACCTATTGTCTCTGTAATTACTCTATTCTTTTTAGTCATGCATGTTTGGTTAAAACTTTTAAGATAGTGACCTCTGTGCCACCTAAAACCTAAATCCATCATTTAATTACCTAAATCATTCACATGTAAGTTGACCTCGATGGATGCCTTTTCTCCAGCTATGTTACTTGCAACACACTGATATTTGCCCCCATCTTCCTTCTTCACTTTTGCTATAAACAGTTGGTGGTGAATGGTTTGGTCTCGTCGAACTCGGGTGATCTTAGCCCTTAACCTGGATTGGACATCATATGAACCGTTGTGCTTCGTCCATCTTATATCGGACTGAGGGTGACCAGGGGGATGACCAGTGGTAATACAATTCAAAGTTAAATCAGAGCCGATAACGATACTTAGGTTCCACCGATCCTTGGCCCTTTGATTGGATTGTCCATAATACGGATCATTGTCCCTCACGCATGAGATGTTTGGCTTGAGAGGATCTTTGGCGGTGTAGGTAAAATTTACCGTAAAATCGTTAATAGTGCTTTGGTTCTTTGGATCTCTCACACTTTGAACGGGATGGGGGTCTGAGGAATAAAAATGATGTAATCAGCATACAGCCTTTGTTGCCACAAAGGCTGTATGTTCAAAAACATCTTTGAAAAAAAAAAAAGGAATGAAAAGGCTGGAAACCTGCCTTCGCTATTCGGATTTTTAAGTGCACTTAGCAGGTGACAGATCAGCAGTTGTTTCTTCAATATGCTAAGGAGACTGTGACGTTCACAATTTGTGCATCTCATCATAATTTAATTTGCCTTCAAGTCCTTTGCCTTCCCCTTCTTTTAGTTCTGTGACGTTGAAGAAAATTTTATGAGGAGGAAAATTATTTCAATACGTAAAAATATCTATGATCCGAATGTACCCTTCCTTTATGACCTCTTTTTTACGGGAAAAAAGATAAATAAATTATTTCAAAAAGCAAAATTTAAATGCCTCTAACCTCTAGATTACACGAGTCGAGACGGATTTCAAGAGACGTTTCGAGTGTCTCACGAAAGTTTACCATTTTGAAAACCGTGAGGGGTTTGAGGAAAGGTTTACAGACTTTCACGAAACCGTAACATAGCGCTCACGGCCCTCCTAGAAGGAAGGCTCAAACTCCAACAACATAATATGATGGAATGCTAATAGGGTTGTTTTTCTTGTGTCCCTTTTTTCACAGGGCCAGTCATCACTCGAGCGTTCTTTTCTATTTTACATTCCTCTCATGTTGCATACCTCGCGGACGAATTTCGACTGATTTTCTCCTGCAATGTGCACGATAACCATTTCCTGCTTCACACGTGTAGCTACCGAGTTGCTCTTCCGTCAAATTTTTTAACATCAACGTACATATATGTTTTAACTCCATTTGTCTACCCTGTACACATCTGTGTCCAACTGGCTTGTCCTGTGGACCGTACCACTGAATATACTCGGTCCATCTATCGTAATACCCTGCATCAATACTCCTGGGTTGTGCCATACAAGTCAGGTTAACCGCTGTACCTACAGATAGTTCTTGCCTTGGTGGACTTGTGGAAATCTGTACATCAGGTATTACTGGAGGAGGGGGGAAGATAAAACCATTCAGACATCCCATGGCACATAACAAAAATTGTCAGCGGCCATTCTTAACTCAAAAAGATGAAATACTTGTCCCAGCAAAACCAATAATACCTCTGCTACTTACTAGTCAGTTTAGAGTTGCAGTTCATGCCCGTGGCTCCAGGGAGATTTATCAAACCACTCATGACTATGAGGACCACCAGAAAAGCTTCAGAAGTGTCATCTCGCCACGAATTAAGTCCCATTATAACACGCTAACAAGTACCTGCGAGTCTTGCCTAAATGGCCTGAAATGAAGACTTTCTGCTTAATACAGGAAAATGTACTATTCTGACATGATTATGGTGAGCTTACTTGGTTATAGTGAGTTCACTATATTTACTCAGTGCTTCAAGAATGTTATGCCGGAAATTTGCAATGGTTTTTGGATGTCTTTTTGGTCTATTTTCAAGTAATGGTTTTTCTGGTCGCTATTGTTGGAATCTTGGCAGCAAGTTCCCAAAAGTACAAGCTCAATTCATCGATTGTTTTTGATGCAGACTGTTAATAGTTTTCTCTGAGTCAATCTTTAATTACATGTCTTAAGAATTAAGCTTCTAAAATTCATTAATTATTCATAAGGTGATCATCTAACCAAGTCACGCCAATTTCGTCACGTGCATGTAGTTTGAAACCCCGGTGAAGTACTGGAATGACGCGCTATCCATGAGTTTCATATAATATCAAACCCTTGTGTTGAATAAAGCATCAAACACTGATGAACGGATTTCTTAATTTGAATATTAATACTACAAACTTGCCGACAACATGTGAAAAATTTCCTTTCATTCCTGAGGCGCGATCGAGAAGCTATTTCAAAAACTCGTGCATAGGGTTTCATCAGGGTTTCCAAACACTTGAAACAATGAAAGCACGGGGCCTGCGGCCTCGTGCTTTCATCAGTTTTCTCGTAGCGGCAGAGAAGTTCTATATTTTTTGGCGCCATTCGCCTATTGTGGTCAGTTCAGCTTTGCTCCCCTAAGGCTCACCAGAATTTAATCAAAGACCTAGACAAAATGGGGAGACAAATCTAGCGCTCCTCTTATCAGTACTGCATACATTATGATAAATAGCCAGCTGACTAGGAAGTGATCCTCGATAAAGTTAATAAACTCAATGTTTTCCCGGACAAGTACTGACAGCCTTGTCAGTTTGTAATTAGCTTCGATGCCGATTTTTCTCAGAAATCTCGTTTTTACTTAAGAGAGGGGTATCAGTCGGCTATAAATATACTACATATGCCATTTCGAAAAATTTGGCATGCCTCCATTTTCATAGATTCCATGTTAGGTCTCATACTACAAACCAACAAACAAAATACGAACCTGACATATAACTGACGAGTCACTAATGCAAAAATAGAAACAACTTAGAGCTGGACTAGAGGGATTATTTTTGTTAGCTCTGTAATGTATTGGATTCATGGTTAGTGTGGAGAAGGCACTTACCTTGACTGTCCTTCCAATTCCGGGCATGTAATGTCGAAACAGCTTTGAAATAATGGTTTTATAATCCAACCTGCATAGCATAGCATTTTCGAAACGTAAGAGTGGAACTTTCCAGAACATTTTTGTTATTTTATCATGTATTCCCGTGATGAAATAAGGACTTTATCAGCACCTACTACACAGATTGTAACCCAATGCTCCTGTCGTGTTTATTACTTACAAATCGTAGGTTTTCTTTCACTCATTTGCACGTCAGACATTCTATGATTTCTATCTATTTTTGGTGAGGGATGACTATGTTAGACAGGTCACATATTTTTCTCTCATTTGATTATCGTCATTACGTTGGTGTTGGGAAATCTTGAATTTCCAACGACACCCGCACTTGTCGAATAAAAGATAACTAAAACTTACTGAAATGCTCTGAATCGACATCATCTCTATAGTTAAGTATTGAATAACAACGTTTTACAACGTTTTGGTTTCGATTACCCATTTTAAAGATTCCTGCTTTTAAAGATTCCCATTTTAAAGATTCGCGCTTCTAAGGATTCCCCGCTTTTGAAGATTCCCCATTTTAAAGATTCTTCATTGCCCATTGCCCATTGCCTATTCCCCCATTCCCCGTGCGTTGTTTAAAAGATAGCCGAGCTCCCTACTAACGAGAATATAGTTTAGTACTGATCTAAATCAGGACGACTTTTACTACTTAATTATGTTGGGGCCGTGAGATAATATATGACGGTTCACTTCTTTGGAAAAGGACAGCTTATGAGAGACTTGCCCACATGATCGAAAGGCATGCCAAAGACTTTTTGTATAATCGCACTTAACTGGCCCTTATCTTATTTATTGATAGAAATCGACTGGATTTTTTGCTGACCCTTAAGAAGACGCTGGGTTCAACCAAAAAGTTATGTGTCAAAATAATCAACCAAACATAACTAACATTTTTGTGCCTTAAGATACGTTCGGGTCTATGCTAGAAAGAAATGAAAATATCGACATTACGTGGATCTCTAACATGGCACAGAACAGATTGAGGACCCCGATATCAAATCATCTAAGAGATTTATAATGATAATTAATTGTTTGATATGATACGTGAAACAGATTTGAACTGATCTTGGCGACTCACGAGGGCACTTATAACTAACTCGAGAAATTTCTTTTTACGATATCGTTTCGCAGTAGAATAACGCAACCTTTGCTCTGGCATCCTCGGAATGCAATTACAGGTTATCATAGGTCCTGATAGCTACACACGTGAGCGACAAATTTCCTTCACTTTGCACGCATGAGTTAGAGTTCAGATAATTTCGCAAATGTTTTAATTTTTTCATGAGAAATTTTCAAATCTGAGGGAACTCATTCACACCTCATTTAAAACATTTAAAACATTTGTTTTAAAAGAGGCTTCCAAGAGACGGAAGTGTCTCGGTTGAGTGCCGTCCGCATTAAGTTTGCTTTTGGTCGAGGGTCGAGGATTCCGCTTCGAACACATTGCTCGAAATTATCAGAAAACAGCTTTCCTGTAATAAACTCTAGGTCTATTTTTTTTCCTCTAGTCTCTGTTGCCTGTACATGTTTTCGCTGCATTTTTTTTTTTTTTTAACCAATTTTATTTACAAGACGATCACATTACACTACTTACAGCATTAATTACACTTACATTGTACTTGCTACTAACACTACTGATACTTATACTTACATAAATTATGCATACACTACATTACGATACATGTATTACAATACTATTAACATTAATTTAGTTTACGGTTGGCGTGTTTACAAAGTTCTTTTCAATTAAAAGACAATCACAAGTAAACATACAGGTCTCAAAAATGAAGTTAAGTATAAGTCTAACCTAAAAACAACAGCAGTAAGAAAAATTAAAGTAAAAAAGCCCACGTGCAATAAAATTTCGGAAGTTCTTTTTTTGCGGTCGCGATCTCTTTTAGGATTTCAAGTTTTCCCGTGATGAACAGTAGGAAGATTTGAAAATCTAAGATGTCTCCGCAAAGGCTTGTGCAGAAAATGTGATATTTGGCTAACAATAGGCAATAATTTAGGACTTGCCAATGCTTTGTCCTATAATGCCAGCCATAGAGTATATGACTTGTGGATAACGTTATTGTTTCATTTGTTTTTTGGTGCCACCAGTCTTGAAACAGAATCCAGAAGTCGAGTATTAGTGTGCAGTTTATTAATAGGTGATGCAACGTTTGTTTTTCTGTATTGCATAGGTTGCATAAGGGGCTCTCTGAAATGCCGTCTCGGTAAAGAGTGGCGCGAGTTGGAAGCACGTTATGAATCACTTTATACTGAAACATTATTATTTTAACTTCGTTTGTTACTTTAAATGGCATAAGATAAACGTTCTTGATGGTAGTTTTTGTAAATCCGTGGCGTAGAATTTTGGTTTCGGCAGTGGGAGGAACAAAGACGGTGTTTAAAAGAGAAGAGTAAATAGAACTGGTTCTTAGGCTGTTTACAGTAGTGTTCGCGTGTGTGACGTTTGGAATAGGGTTTGTTTGGTTTAATTTTCCAGTCTTTTGGGATTGCGTTGACCAAGCCATAGTATGTGGTGAAAGGCACATTTAAATTAAATTTCGTGACAAATTCATGCCACTTCAAAAATTTCTGATTTTGGTTTAAAATGTCGCTTATCTTAGTAATACCGGCGTCATACCAAGTTTGGTAAAAGACAGGTTTTTTTCCTATAAGAATTTTTCTGTTATTCCACATTATTTCGTTTTTAGGATTTATTTTGGAATCGATGCCCGTTGAGATTTTAAACTCGCACCAATAATCTAACACTTTTTTGTAAAATGCATGAAGCTTATCATCGAGGTCTAGTGTGCTTGGTGTAAAGTTGCATTTTGTTAGAAAAGCAAGACCACCATGTTTGTGTAAGAGCTGGTTAGGAATAATTTTCCAGGAGGCTTGTGAGTCATCTTGAATTCTGTTGACCCAAGCTATTTTGAGTGCTTTTTCCATGATATTGAAATCGCACATTTTCAAACCGCCATCTTTCTTTTCTCCAATTATGGTGTTTCTTTTTATTTTAGGGGGTTTTCCTGCCCAAATAAAGTTGAAAGTTAGCTTATTTATTTCTTGGATATAGTGATCTGGAACAGGGAGCACGGAGGCTGAGTAAATTAACTTAGATATCCCAAGTGTTTTAACTATGTTTATCTTTCCATAAAGAGTTAGATTTCTCCGTTGCCAAGTGATTAGCGTTTTCTCAAGATTACGTATTTTTTCACCGAAGTTCAGTCTATTAGCACTTTCTTGGTTATGAGAAAAATAGACGCCAAGGGCATTGACAGGTTCTTTTGGCCATTTAAAACCAAAGGGTTCATCTGTTCTGTCTTTCCATTCGCCTAACCACATTGCTTCGGTTTTAGTTGTGTTTATTTCTAGGCCAGAAAGTTCTTTAAACTCATTTAAAACCTTCAATAGACTCACGACGGAATCGAGGTCACGAACAAATACTGTTGTGTCGTCGGCATATTGACTTATTTTAAGCTCATGCTTGTTGACTTGGATACCTTTAATAGTAGGATCATTTTTTATGGCTTTAGAGAGGAGTTCTATGCCGAGAACGAAGAGAACGCCAGACAAAGGGCAACCTTGCCTGACTCCCCGCTGGAGGGAGAAAAAAGTTGAGGCATGACCGTTATTCAGAACACAGCTAGTAACATTATTATAAAAAATTTTTATCCAATTTTGGATGTCGTGGCCGAAGTTGAAGAGCTGCAATGTTTCTAAGAGATAGTTCCATTCAATGGAATCAAACGCTTTTTTGAAGTCCAAGAAAATGGCAATACCTTTTTGATTTGTTTTATCTGTGTAATGTATTAGGTCATAAATTAGCCTTATATTTTCACCAATGTAGCGGCCTTTAACATAACCGGTTTGATCAGGGTTTATTAAAGTTGGCAAGACATTTTCGATTCGCGTGGCTATAACCTTAGTGAGAATCTTGTAGTCGACGTTGAGAAGTGAGATGGGCCTTAGATTTTCCAGAATAGTTTTATCCTTAGATTTTTTTGGGATAAGCGAGATTATTCCTCGTCTTTGACTTATAGAAAGCATGCCATGTTGAGAAGCAAAGTTGTAGCTCGCTACCAGATCATGGCAGATGTCGGGCCAAAAGAATCGGTAAAATTCAGCAGGCAGACCATCACTGCCCGGGGATTTGTTATTGTCAAAGTCTTTGAGTGCATTTTGGCATTCTTCTACCTTTACCAATCCTTCACAAGAATTCTTTTCTTCTTCACTTAGTGCGGTTACGTTTTCTGGAATAAAAAAAGGCGAGTTTTTAAAATTTTCGGGATTGATATTGGTGGAGCGGTATAACGACTCATAGAACTTTTTTTCTTCTTCTAAGATATCGAATTGATCTTCTATATAACAATTATCCCCAACTTTGAGTTTTGAGACTGTTTTAATATCATGATGTCGTTTTTCTAAGCTGTAGAAGTACTTAGTGTTGCGTTCTCCTTCTTCATGCCATCTTACTTTGCTTCTCAGGATTGCACCTTGAGTTTTAATAAACATGATTTTTTTAAGATGTGATCTGGCACGTTGAAGTTCTAGTAAGATGTTTCTGTCGTGCGGGTTATTTTCCGCTCTGGATTGGAGGTCGTTTACTTTTTTGTGCAGTAATTTTTCTTCATCTCGATATTTTTTTGCTTTTCGTTTGGAGTACTTGATCGTGAAGCCTCTTATCTCCATTTTTATGAGGTCCCATTTTAAACTTAAATCATGAGTCTCGTTGTATTTCTCTTTAAAAATTGGAATGTTTATCTTAAGTGCTGTTACGTATGCTTCATCTTTAAGTAAAGCTGTATTAAATTTCCAGAATCCCGGTCCTCTTTTTTGGTTTGGGAGATTAGACTGTAGAACAAGTGAGACAGCGGAGTGGTCAGATTCGGGTATGTGGATTATGTCACACTTCTTTGCTAATTGAATTAACTCCTGCGACACTAAGAACAAATCTAAGCGGCATTGAATTTTAAACGATTTAGTTCTCCGCGTAAAACACTGCTTATCATTGTTCAGGA